GAATCGCGATATATATTATTTTTTATTGTTTAACTTGGAGAAAATTACAAAACTTTGCACTAACATAGCTAATTTGGCCTTTTTAGGGTGTCCCCCTATATTATGATTATTAAATTTACCTTCGGTCCCCCTACCGTCAAGGCAAAGCATCCGAAACGTCGGTAGTTGAAATAATTTAACTCATATATTTCGCGTCCTAAACCCTTAAAAATTGTATATCTATGAAATCAATTTATTGAAAGCATTTTTGTTTTTTGTCGAAACCTGGATGATAAGGCACAAGAAACTTATTTGTGTTCTTCTTGAATTTTTATTTGTTCTATATCCTAACATCTACACCGCAACGGCCGCTAAGAGCGTATTGTGGGACGACCGTGTGAATTCCATCAATGCCTTTTTGCGACCAATAAAAGTGCTTGTATAGCACTTTTTACAAATAAAGCGCAAAAATTAAAACAAAGCAGTACAATTCAAAACTAAAAACCATGGACAAGGAGACAAACCACTAATGGTAATAGTTTTTTTTTTCATGCCTTTTTTTTTCATTAAAACTATGTGCAAGCCAGTTCGAAATATAAATTAAACCTTTAATGAGTTACCTCTTTGGTCGCCAGGTTGTGGATTAGATTATCGTTCCATTTTTAAATTACACGATATAATCATAGTAATTTATTTGTTCGCTAAACACGACAGATATAGATTCTTATACAACTATTGCCGGCTGCTGCTCGACCGCTGTACAGTAGGTTCGATTCTCGGAGGTTGTCAAAATAATACTCAAATTTCTAAGCATGTTCGAAAATTGGATATTTTATACTTTTTGCATAACTCTAGCATAACCCCGTAGATTAATTGCCTATTCATAGCTTCCAAGTTGAAAGTTATCTCTCGTCTCGTGCCCTGTTCCTTTTTTGTACGCATTAATACGTACAAAAAGCCCTATTATGTGAAAGGTTATTGGATGAAAAATTGCTCTTTTTATATCGATATTATAAGAAAACCATTACTCTATCATCATTTTAACGATCTTTTGAAAGCTGTATTAAAGCGCTTATGGTCCACTCAGTCACTTAAGGCAAACCTGGACCGTTAAATTAAACCAGAAAAGCTCAATCACTCCGTTCTTTTAATAATTTGCTATATAAATTTTACGTTTTCAATATTTAACTTAGTTTCTCTCTTACTCGTTGTGTGTATTTTTACTATGTACCTTTGCTTTTCTTTGTTGTTCCTTACACCTACCCAATAAATAAGTTATTTTCTAATTTAAAAATCGAAAATAATCGACTCGGGCAGGACTTGAACCGGCATCGTCAGCGTTCCGTGCTGTCGCTCTACCAATTCAGCTACCGAGTCGATTTTTCAATTTTTAAATTATATAGTTTTCAAAATGTTAATTATTATTAGTATTTTCTGCTACCATAAGTGGAGTAAGTCCATTTTTTACATCTTTTTAAATATAATAAATTAACAATGCTGTGTATCAGTAATTCTATAATAACATCGTGATAAACAATTTTCAATAGTCTCGATAGCGTTACTCGCGAGGCCCTGGGTTCTAATTCCGGGAAAACAATAGAATGTGTCGGTCGGGCAGGGGACAAAAGACTTATCAACTACTAATACAATGTTTTATAGTATGTAAGTGATCTGTTCATGATCATGATATAAATAAATACTTTAATTTTTATTGTTAGTAGTGTCTACCTGAGTTTATCAGTTTATATATAAGATCAGAACTAAAACTACTTCTAACATAGTCCAATATGTAAATAAGTCGATAATTATAGAATTAAAATTAAACGCTTGTCCTCTCGTATCGTGGCTGGATTTATGTAAAATGATAAGGCTGAGAGTACCGTCGAGTGATCTGTGAATTAACGGTGAACTAAGTAGAAACGGTGGTGATTGGCATTCGAAGTGGGACACACTGGAGATCATCACGTTTATTTGTTTACTAGCTGTACCCGCGACTTCACCCGCGCATAATAGTATTTACTGGCATCATTTTAATAATCTTTTCCTCACCCCTCAGCTTTATAAATTAATAATAGGTAGGTATTACCAAAAACGTCGTCTACGTCCCGTCGTTCTTGCGAGTTAAGCTTAAGCGATAGACACGTTGTCGCTAACATTTTTTTTTATTTAAAGAAGAATTCTTTCATACACATTTTTTTGGTTACTTGCCCCGTTTGAATTCGAACCAGTATTTCCTGAGATTAGCGCGTGGATCGTTTATCGAGAAAGGCTTCAAGAGGGGCGAAGAAACAGAGGCTATGTGGGAAATCTTTGTTGCGCGCGTTGCAAAAACGGTTCAAGTTACCAAAAACACGTAAGAAATAATTATTCTTCTTAAAATGAAATGCTTTCGCGGCCATTTCGTAAAACGATTGTAAGCAATGGCCGCGACTGTATTGGCTTATCTTTAAAGGTAACTTACGCGAACCGTATTATGTTATATTCATACTAGTAACTAAAGAATATTTTACTTACTATAAATGCTTCCATATTTAGGACTAATCGCAGCTATCGTTTAAAATAGGTACGAATTGATTAGATGGTCATTAGAAGTGGACAGTTGGACAACCTGTGTTCACAAGAAACAGCGACTTGTCATTATCCAACGATTAATTTGTCATCCCGGCTGCTAAGACGTCATTACGACTTGAAGCCACAATTCCATATTAAATTCATTAGTATTAGTCGTCAGTCTACTTCCTTTTGCTCAATACAGTGTTATTATGGTATTAAGTAGCTTTCTACTGCGATATTCTTATGATAACTAGCTGCGTCAGCGACTACGTCCGCGTAGAATATTTTGTCCATCCAAATGTTTTGCTTCTGCAAACGTCGTTCTTGCAATCTTTTAATATAGGACGTATTTTTAGATCATTTAAAAAGGATGACTCCTTTTCCTTTTCTACATATTTTTTGGGTATCTTGAACCGTTTTCGCAGCGTACGCATCGGAAACCCACAGAGATGAATAATTTCTCCGGTTTTTTTCTACATTATCCGTTGATACTCCGTTCCTATTAGTCACCACTCTATGTATAGCCAGAGATAGAGAGAGCTTCCACTATAAATGCTCTAACCGATACAATAAACAATAATCATTTATCTTATTTCGAATCTGAGATTAGCGCGTTCAAACAAACAAACACTTTAGATTAATATATTAGTATAGATAGATGAAAATAAGGATAACCTTTTTACGGGATCGTCGATCGTACCTGGTATCGTATCTGGAAATGGATATTATGTGTAAAGGAACAACAAAAGCTCCTCAGAAATACGCGTATTGTTTTCTGACTGTTAATTAGCAAATATTTATTTATTTAATTGCGGAAAGACGAATTAACTATACAAAGCCATAATGGTCGACATCGCATCTTAATTATTTTTTTTACTGAACATTTATTATATTCTATATCTAATTTAGCGGTTAGCCCATTGAGTACACGAGCAATATTCTCGAGTTTACTTTGACGATAGATATATTAATTTTAATTAGTAACTACGAAATAATTCTTTTGCGTAAGAGTTTGCCACTATCGTTTGACCCAAAAATGCAACTGTACAGATTCCGAACAAATAAATATACAGTCATAAATAAACGTTAATAAATATGTGTGAACATATAAAATTAGTTATCCGTTCCACTCCAAACGGTGTTGTCATTAAACATATTTATGGCCAATCGGTTGTAATATTCACGGGCAATAATTTACAAACACTTTATAATTAAAGATCGGAAGCGCGCAGTAATTTGTGAAATAACACAATTATATCAACACCTCGTTTATCAAGATTTAACCGCTATTAAACTCGGGCTACAAACAGTCCGGAGCCCTAGGCTATAACAGTGTATTGGGTGCCGTTTGACAGTTATTGTAGAAAATTGCTCAGCGTTACAATTGTCTCTCAATATGGGCCAGAGAATAAACTTATGTTTATTTGGTGTCTTGAAATCGAATCGTAGTTAAGATTCGATTTGAAAAACTTTTGTGTTGGTTTGAACAATTATCGAGAAAGGCTTGAGACTATAAAATATCATGCTCCGGCGTAGGATACGAGCGAAGAAACAGTAAGAAATGTGGAAAAAGTTATTCATTTTCGAAGGATGCCGTCGCGTGCGCTGCGAAAACGGCTCGAGATACCCAAAAAAATATATAGGAAAGAATTATTCCTCTTTATATAATATAAAAAAATCGACGACAGTGTAAGATTAACTAAAAACCGTTTTTATGCTAATCAAATTTTAGTCACAATATTCTATTTATATGGAAAAAATAACGTTTGTCAGGTCAGGTAGTTACAAAATATAATGTATTTGCAGTCTAATTTATTAAGATTTCTGTCTCATCAGATCACAGTGCTGCAAAACTCCTTTCCCTCTCTTCTACCCTCACCCTTCGCCCCTCTCTTAATATCATCCCCCTCTCTCCCATGGACACAGCTTAATAACCAACTGTGGTCGTACGACCGCATTCGATTACGTCAAAAACAGAAGTATGATTTAGTTGTAGTTGTGACATGAGTTAAACAATAAAACACAAATTTACAGATGGTATTTAAATAAAACACTTTAACGGTTTAAAACGCGATATATTAGTTAAACTTATTTGAAAATTATTTTTAACTTCGGATGTTTTGCGCCAGCCTTGTCACGCTGCTGCAAAGCATCCGAAACGTCGGACCGAAGTTAAAAATCATTTTCAAATAAGTTTGACTAATATATCGCGTTTTAAACCGTTAAAGTGTTTTATTTAAATGTGTACTACTCGCGTAAACTAAAGACAGTATTAGAGACGGTAGTTAAGAAATATTGCGTGGCGTGTGTTGTGTCTAAGATGTTGTGCGCTTCCTTATACGATAGAGCAGACCTGCTCCCAGCAGTGGAATATTAATAAAACGTAAAGAATCTTCATAAACTTAGTAAATACACATTAGATTTTTCATCTTTGTAAGTAAATAAATTTCCTATTCATTAGATAAATCCTACGCTAAGAATACGGAAAGGTTAAAGAAATTGCAGATAGCATTAACAATTCTCAACTCGAAGACAAGTGATGGATCAGCGCTGCAGGCTGCTCGGTGTGGCCACTAAATTATAATGTTACATCTCATGTATTTATTTTAATAGAGAAAATAGGGTTTTAAGCTTTTCAGTCGTCGTAATTAAAAAGGTTCTATAGGAATTACAAATAGCACGAAAAACCAAACCAACTTTGAAAAATGGCCGCAAAATACTTATACAGTTTTCTTGATTTTACCCCATTACATGTTAATAAATAATGGTTTAATACTCACTGAAAAATAGAAGGTATATAAATAATATGTACATTTTTGCATATCATTGTCTTTCGGGCTGTTCGGCCGATTTGAGCGAGAAGAGGTTCTCGACTCGAATCGAGGAGATGTTAACTCCTCGATTGCTCGAAAAATTATGAATATTAAGAATTCTACATTGATATTAAGAACGATGGCCGTGAAAGCCTGACACAATTTACGAACATTTTGGTCCTCCTACTGGATTTCACAAGTTACCACCTTAGTTTTATACTATGGGTAGTTTAAAATATAATCATTCACATAAATACATCATAATAGATATACGAACAATTGTATCTAATAAATTAACTTATATGTAATTAATGTAAGTGAAGACACTATCAAAAGTAAATTTCGACGTATTAGTTAACTAATACGTCGAAAGAGATGGCGCTAGCGTAGTAGATTTGACTTTGACATTTTATCTTTGTACCCTAGTGACCAGGGCTGCTCCAAAGCAATCGAAACGTCGTGGTGTAGTTAAATTAATTTTAAAAGAAGTTAATTTATTTTTCATTTTAAATCTTTATTGTATTAAAGTGTTTTATTTAAATAAGTATGTATACCATAAATACTTGAGAACTGAGAATTTGTTCTACGCATTTGATTTGAGAGACAAGATCTAAAGTTGGTATTTTATACTGTATTGACATAGTAACTTACATGAAAAAATAGTGACAATTTTAAAATAAGATACTTTAACGGTTTAATACGCGATATATATTGGTTAAACTTATTTGAAAATAATTTTATCTATGACTAGACGTTTCGGATGTTTTACAGCACCAGTTTTCACGGAGAGAATATATATCGCGTTTTATACCGTTAAAATGTTGTATTTAAATACACTACTTTCTACTACTACTCGCGTAAACTACAGAAAGTACTTATTTTTAACTTTTCTAAGACTTAATAATAAAAACCGTAGTTAAGTTGAAATCGCAACTTTAGTGGCCACATAAAGCGGCTAGAATTAACCTGCACGCCCCCAGGTATGCATTATCGCATACTCGTTATGGACACTTGCATTTGCCTACTTATATTTTTATAATCTATAAAGTTGATAGGGAATTTGTTTGACTGTCAACTGTCAAAATTTCCTATCACCAATTGTGGTTTGAAAATCAAAGTATATATCCAAAATGAGTATGAAGATATATACTTATTTTTTTAATGTTATGTATATACTTACTTATTTTACGTTTATATAGCCATAGAAGAACCTTTCTTCAGAATAATCCCCAACTTACGGATAACCTCGAACTTAAGTCTATATATAATTATCTAGTGCTTTTGTATGTCTGTGTTGCTTTATACTTTTAAACGTGATAGTAAAACGGTATAAAGCAGTTGTGGACTTGTGAATATTTCTTAAGTTATCAATACATTTTTTTACAAGTTTGTTCATTTGTGGTTAACGCGTATTAGACTGCACAGTGTTCGATACTGTTGCTCTAAGCAAGTGACACTATATTTTACATGGTTAGAGCAGGAGCACGGTGGGGATGCCGATTCAAGTCCTGCCCGTATCATATTTTTTTAATCTAAAAAGTTTCTGTCTATAGTGTACGCGAGTAGTACACATTTAAATAATACACTTGAACGGTTTAAAACGCGATATATTAGTTAAACCTCGTGTCTGTCTCCCCGTGACTACGGCTGCTGCAAAGCATCCGAAACGTCGGGACGAAGTTAAAAATAATTTTCAAACAAGTTTAACTAATATATCGCGTTTTAAACCGTTCGAGTGTTTTATTTAAATCTAAATAGATTTGTAGTGTACCTTAGCTTACTACGTCCGCGTGGAATAGTTATTTTAGGCATCCTATTATTTATTTTATTCTAGCTCTCACGACGTCGGCCGCGTCCTGTCGTTCTTGCGGGTTAATCTTAAAAGATACTATACTGCAGAGGACATATCATTATTAAAAACATAGTTTAGCAGTTTCTTAAATGGTTTATGCAGTGTACGCAACAGAAGCTCTCAAAGATGAATAATTTCTCCGTTTTATCTACTTTATCTACTGTTTCTTCACTCCTATTGGTGACAATCGAATGTTTTATAGCTTAAAACATTCCTCGATAATTGGTCCAACAAACCATAAATAACTTTTCAATTTGAACTTGTAGTTCCTGAGATTAGCGCGTTCAAACGAACAAACTCTCCAGGTTTATAATATTAACTATAGATTATATAAAAATAAGTGGCGTTAATTGCGTACACCTCGAAAGCTGCGCAAATTACGGTGTTCTAATAGACATTTTCCTGTTTGAAAGTAGATCTATTAGTGAGAATGTTGATACTTTATTCGATCTCAAAATGTAGCAACCGCACTTACGTGTTTGTAAAGGTTGTGTTTTTCTGGCAATATTGTACAAAAATAATTAATTCTGATTTGTGGTCTAATATAATTTATGCCTTTATTATTCTGTTGCATGTATGTGTATCGCTGTCATGTGTAGATGAATAAATAAATATGGACCGGAAAATTTTTAAAGCTAGACACAAAACATACAAACAACCATAATTACGAGAATTATAACATACAATTTTAGATAGTTTACGCGAGTAGAGATAAAAAAATCCTAGTCTCGTCGTCCTAGTCGAAGTGATAAACTGACTGTGTAACGCGTTGTGTAAGTCATAAGACAGTATATCGCTTCAAGAGTTGCCACATATTGAATATTATTATTATTATTATCATTAACATAAACGTAAGTAATAGTTTCAATACACAGTTAAGATACATGTGTGTAAAAGTAGTCACAATAATTAATATTGCAATAACGGTAGACAATGTTTACTACTTGTCACTAGATGGCGCTGATTTACAAAAATCATAATTCCCATTATGCATAGAATTGACTAAAGAAAATAATTCGAGTTGTAATGTTATTATAATAATTTCACTTAAATAAGTTATTATAATATAAAACTTACCTTGCAAGACCCTTGCACGCATATCGCACGGAAACCAGGTTTTGTGCATGGTGTACCGTCAGCAACGAGCGCAAGGGATGCATAGAACTGCTGACCTCTGGGTCGACAATTTAGTGTGCACGGGGAATTACCTGAAATATTGTTCTAAGTTAAATAAGCTGTCTATAAATCAAAACTATTAAAATGCCTAATACAATAAATATCTACTATCTATATACTAGCTGTGTCAGCGACTTCGTCCGCGTAGAATACTTATTTTGGGCATCCAACTTTGTTTTTGCAACATTACATATTTATAAATTTAAGCTGCCCATGACATCGGACGCGTCCTGTCGCTCCCGACCCGTCGCTCTTGCAAGTTAATCTTAAAAAATAGATATAGTGTCGCGGATTTTTTTTCAGGTTATTTAAAGAGGAATCATTCCTCAATATATTTTTTTTGGGCGTCTTGAATCGTTTTCGCAGCGTACGCATCAGAAACCTGCAGAGATGAAAAATGTACCTCGTTTCTTTACCATTTCTCGTTGTTTCTTCGCTCCTATTAGTTTACTACTATTATTTACTATTAGTACTATTAGCGAGATACTTAATAAAGTATAGTTAGTCTAACTAACGCGATTTTTTAATTCGAACCCGTAGATTCTAAGATTAGCGCGTTCAAACAAACAAACAAACTCTTCAGCTTTATATATTAGTATAGATATAACTAATAATATTATATATTTTATACATTATTGATTAAAAGGAAAAATACTACGCAGGCCTATAATATTTATAAGTAGAACTTTCTTGAAATAAACGTAGTTAGTTTTTAATTTAAAAGTAGTTAGGTATATAGGTATAAGGAGCAGAATTTAAATCACGAAATGTATTATTTGACATATGTCTATTTATAATAACTACGGCCCAACGTTTCGGAAGCCTTGCAACAGCTGTGGTCACACACTAAAGATGGAGTGTCCCCAATGTCAAACCTGCTGCGCTAGCGCCATCTGTTTTGTAGTAGTTGGTACAAAACAGATGGTGGATGTTTACAAAGCATCCGAATTATCAGGCCGTATTAAAAGTTAAGTTATTAGATATATATAGCGTTTCTAACTGTTATATCGTGTTTTATTTAAATGTGTATTACTCGTGTAAGCTGCATCGTTAGTATAATAAATAATACGTCATGTGAAAGCAGTAAAGGGGTTTTTCTAAAACGCGTACAATAATTACCATCAACATAAGGCACCCAGGTGTAGAACCTTCCTCGGAAAGGTCTCCGATCATACACGGCACATTGCTCAGCTCTTGAATCACGCGCTGGTCCAGGACAAGGCTGTCCAGAAAAAACATAATATAAATACAACTTATAACTATCTTTGGCAAGTTTTAATAACTGTGGCTCACTTATTAAATGAAGTGAGTTAAGTCGGGGTAAGGTAGTAGGGGTGAGGTGTGTCAAATCATCATCAATCATGGAAAACGATGGTTGAGCAGGAAGCAGAAGTATTTTTATATTATAGAGGAGGACAGAGAAGCATGGAGTTCATTCAGTCATATAACATCTCATCAAGATGCGCTATCGGCGTATTTTGATTTCGGATATTCGGAAATCCACAGACTCACACTGAAACAAGATTAAAATTCACGGCTTTTTCATTTGTTAGACGGTGCTTCGAGACCCGGATGAAAATCGATATTCTTACCATCCATTTAATTTCCACCAAGTCTAATGGTTAATAATAATGAAACTATTTCACAAACATAGACACAAGAACATAGATACTTAAAATTATATATACAAAATAAAACATGTTAGGCAAAGGCGGCCTTATCGCCTATGGCGGTTTCTTCCAGACAACCTTGTAGAAATAGAATTGACTTTTACAGTGAATATATAATAATTATAAATTTTTAATCATCATCAACGAATCCGATCTTCAACTTGTCTGAGAATGAAATCGACAAGTGTTTGACTTTATTTATCGCTACAAGAAAACAAAAACAGAAGATTTTCCGTCAATAATACGTAAAGACTATCGAATTATAACTTATTTATGATACTATTAATGGCGGAAAGTCACACAAACACCTTCGGGAAACGTTATAAATTCCATACGTGAACGGTACAAACTACGAGCGACTTAATTATTATTAAGAAATGTCTACTTTAACAGCATTTAATGGTCAACAAATATGTGTAAAAGACTTCAAAGAAAATATGAAAGACGGACTGTTTGAACGAGACATTTTTAATGTCGTGCTAGATCTTAGACTTTCCTATTTAACAATATTACATTTTAAACGGCATGAACAACATTTGTATCAATATGTAGGCATTTCTGTGGTGAGGGCAGAGGTGGGTTTTGGTGTTGGCGAATACCACCACAAGATTAGAGATGATCATGAGGACGGAAGGCTGAAGTGCTTCCACGATTTTGGATCGATGACACTTCTTAAATAATAGAGGAGGACAGATAAAAATGGGGGCTCATTAGTTGGGGGTATACGCCAGGCATCTAAGCAAGATGTACGCTGTACCTAATTTGGCTTTGATATCCACAGACTGAAACCGAAACGCGATTAAACTTCACGGCTTTAAATACTGTCTATAGTTTACGCGAGTAGTACACATTTAAATAAAACACTTTAACGGTTTAAAACGCGATATATTAGTTAAACTTATTTGGAAATGATTTTTAACTTCGATGATTTTTAACAGTCTCCCCGTGACCACGGCTGCTGCAAAGCATCCGAAACGTCGGGCCGAAGTTAAAAATCATTTCCAAATAAGTGTAACTAATATATCGCGTTTTAAACCGTTAAAGGGTTTTATTTAAATCTTCACGGCTTTTTTATCTGTGGACGCTGGTTCGTGACCAAGACGGAATTTCTATATTCCTACCGTTTAATATCCAGATTTCTAGACGGATTCCGACGTGTCTCGGAAAAATTATAAATTGAATAACGTGTAACACGTTGGGGATCGAACCCACGACCCGTTGATATCATACATTACACTTAAAGTGGAACTGGAAAGAACAAACATTTTGCCATAACGTGGTTACGTGGGTTCACCAGTGCTACCCACCGCAGACACTACGGACAAGACAATTGAGACTTAACTGTCAAAACTTTCAATTGTTTGCTTGGCTCTCGTTAAAATCTTGACTAAAGAACAATTGGCTCACCGCTGTATTGCATTCGTGGTATCGTCTAGCCAGTCCAGGGCAGTCCGGGACTTGCGTAGCTCTGGTTCTTCGAAGACGGTCAGTACTTCTTACTAGCTTTCTTCTTTTCCTACTCCGACGCCATCTGAAAATAACGATGTAAGCAAAAACTTAATGTCGCATAGTTTACGGTATAGATATTTAACTTTTAACTTTTTATTTAATTTGTAATATAATAATAATAAATCTCTTTTTTTGGCATTCATTACAATACTAGAAAAGAATAAATTACAAATAAAACACTGTAACGGTCTAAAACGCGGTATATATTAGTTACACTAGACCACGTATGCTGAAAAGCATCCGAGACGTCGGGCCGTAGTTAAAATTGATTTTCAAATAAGTTTAACTAATATGTAATCGTTTTGAACCGTTAAAGTGTTTTATTTAAATGTGTACTACTCAAGTAAACTACAGACTGTATACAATAAGAATAACTAATATAAAAAGATTGAATTTAATTAAAAGAAAAGTTTAGTGATGCCAAAAGGTCAGATTATATTTAAACAATTGTAATGTAATTTTAGAAATCATATCATTTACCACAAATTTTAACATGATGCTAAAATCAAGCGAGAGTTGTGAAAATGTTGAATAGTTTCAACGCTTCAGTAATTAAATTGTACAATCTGCCAATCCGTATATATCTTTGTTTTTCCAAGCGCTTTCAATTTGTTTTGAAATCTTTTTCGGGTTTACAGCACTTTGTTTTATGAATCAACTTTTAAAAGCGATATAAGGGTCAAATAGAATGTAATTCAACGGATCGCGGATTCGATCAAATACGCTTCTAATCAACTGAAACTTTTAAATAAAACACTTGAACGGTTTAAAACGCGATATATCAGTTAGTTAAACTTAATTGAAAATGATTTCTAACTTCGGCCCGACGTTTAACTAAGATATCGCGTTTTAAACCGTTAAAGTGTTTTATTTAAATGTGTACTACTCGCGTAAACTATAGACAGTACTCAATTGTAACTTTTTTTGATACTTGATGGACTTCATATTGTGATAGTCTGAATATTAAATAGGTTGTACCGAAACTGCGTCCAAGTCAGGTAACTGACGTGTTTGTTTGTTTGGACGCGCTAATCTCGGGAACTACTGATTCGAATTTAAACATAATTTTTGTGTTAGTTGGACCAATAATCCAGGACGGCTCTTAGCTATAAAACATCACGCTGTGATTAATAGGAACGAAGAGACAGAGGGAAATGTGGAAAAGGCATGGAAAATTATTCATCTTTGAGGGTGTCCGTTGCGTGTACTACTAGTACTTTTCTATTTTTTTTTAGATTAACTCGCGACAACCGCTTTTTCTCTTAATCAAATTTCGTCGTTATTAATACATTACCACTGGTTATTTGTTAAAGTTTTATCACGACAATATGAATCTTGCAAACAACAAAACCAACGTTTGCTGGATCAGCTAATTACCAAATAAACAAATTCTCGTATTGAAATTATATAATTAAAGCCAACCATGTTTTTAATTAACATTTGTTTTATTGTACACAAGAATGTCATACGCGAGCAATGTAATTGTTTCAGGGTATATATCGATTTCACCACACCGGGGAGCTACAAAGCTATTGTTTCCTTGTAATTAATATTATGAAATGTTAGGCTATGGTCTCCTATTAACACTATAGATCGCGATGGTATAATATGTTTTACACGTAAAGTTTCGGGGTCTTCGAACGTCCCGGAAACTTCGAAATTTGAAAAAGCTCTGACTAAACGTAGACTAACTCTATACTAATACTATAAAGGTGCTGCGTTTATTTGAAAGCGCTTATGTCAGGATTTACTGGTTCAAATTGATTTTTTTTGTGTTGGTCAGAGCATTTATCGAGTAAGGCTTTATAAAACATTACGCTGTGATAGTAAGTAATGAAGAAATAATGGAAAATGTGGAAAACTGTTTTAGGTACCTAAAAATATGTATGAAAGAATGAGTGTTTGTCCACCTTTTAAGGTTAACTTGCTAGTACGACGTCGTGGGGTAACACATGATAAGCAATAATGTGTAAAGATGATTTGCAATAAAAAATTTTGACGCCGAAAATAACTATTCTACGCAGACGAAATCACTGGCACAGCCAGTAAACAATATACTCTGTCGAACATTAAGTAATTGTCATTAGGTATTTTTGCTGAATCGCGTCACTTGCGATGTAATGCGATCTATATCGTTTATATGAGACTACAGCCTTACAACGCCTCGTATGAGGCGCCGTAATTATTTTCTGTCGGCTAATGATGATTTGTGCATTTTATAGAATGCGATTAATGCATTGTTTTATATCTCGATGTTGCACAATTGCATTTATTGGAATTGGTTGGTACAGTATTTTATTAAGTATGTACATTTGACTGGCACATGGTAGTAATGTGACATTTGAATACTTTAATATTTTTCATATGTTGCACATGAAGGTGTGAATTGAAAATCGATAGTAAATTGAAAAAAAAAACGTTAGAGTAACAGCACGGAACGCTGAGGATACCGGTTCAAGTCGTGCCCGAGTCAATTTATATTATTTGACTAATAATCAACGGGTCGTAAATTCGATCCCTACAAAGTCCAAAAATTTTCAAATCAATTTATAATTCTTCAGAAACATGTTGAACTTCGTCTGAAAATCCAGATATTAGATGGGTGGTAGGAAAATCGAAAATCCGTCCGGGTCACGAACCACCGTCTACAAAGGGAAAAGCCGTCAAGAATAATCGAGTTTCGGTTTGAGTCTGTGGACTTTTTCTCGTCAGGCTTGTGATTATGACGTATATCAATTCAAAAGCTCATTCGCTAATATTTAATAAAATAAATTGCGCATAAATTGTACTGGTAAGAATGTAGTAAATGATAAAATAAAATATTTTTCCATTATTATTATTATTATATTATACAGTTTTATTTAAGTAGTGTCTACTACTCAAATAAAACTGAAAACAACAATTAGACCATAAAATTATTCCTAAATGATGACCTACCGATGTGCAGTAAAGCGTTTTGTTGCTAATTATTTTATAGCTTTAGTGACGCACGCGCATTCCGTTAGATGTTTAAATAAACGTTAAAACACGTCGGAAACGTTTTGTTCCGCTACTAAAATGCTTAGTTAAACAGATTTCGATCTATTTTAATGTCATACAAAATGAAGTCATCATTTTTCGAATTCGAACAGACAGAATTCGACAGTTTACACCGAGTAGAATACGTAAAAAGTAAACCTACCTGTTGATGCGTTGTCTATGAAGATACTAGGAATTCTAGGCGGTTTTATTTCGTGTTTAAACCCGTTAAAACGTTTTATTTAAGCGCGTTAGGTAGTGTCTGTAGTTTAACGAGAATAATAACGAGAAATTCACGTATACATACTTTTAACTGTTTAAAACGCGAAATTTATAATAAAAGTATCCTCCCGTGACGACATGTCGTCTTATAACTATAATACTTATAAACTATTATACTTATAACTATGACTTATGACGTAGTTGAAATGTATTATAACTAAATATAATTCGAGTCTTAGACCTTTAAAAGAGTTTTATTTAGTTAATCATTCGTGAAACTATAAACCAAGCAAATCCCGTTGTGGAGCGTGGGAAGACATAATTGTGTGTCTATTTTACTTATCGATTTCTTTACTGTATAGAGGATAATATGCACTAGATTTAACTTCGATGCTATGCAAAAGGAAATTCTAAGCAACACGTCCTATATAATATGTTTTCGTTATCATTGTGTTGTGGTCTCGATGGTCTAAGGATAGCAAGCAATGACTTCGATTCCCACCAGGTCCAACATATTTTTAATCTCGTTTAGATGGTGTAGGCTGTGTGATATACAGTGAACCATATGCTTATCTGTCTCTATCATTAAAAAACCGAAGCTACCACGCAATTAATTAGAATACACATCATCAGCTTTCACCAAAAAACTCCCATCACCAATTACGTCTCGTAACGAAGCAAGCCTTGTTAACACGACGTTTGAACGTACATTTAAAACGATACAAGCTGACTCAGCGTATACAACTAATGGTCCGAACAAACACGAAACATCGACGCGATGCAAACAAAGAGATAACACGCGCATTGGCAAAAGCTCTTAAATTATTGTCCGTCCATCAAACTGTACGCGTTCCGTGTTCAATATTACCTTAATAAAGGGCGTGGGTCAGATGATGTCCGAAATGCCTCTGATGACTTTGAGTTCGGGAAATTACAGGTTTTATGTGCGCTTGCGCATTCTTGATTAAAAGGCAAAATAATATTCATAAATTTCAAGTATATATTAGTTAAACTTATTTGAAAACCATTTTTAAATTCGGCCCGACGTTTCGCTTGCTTTGCAGCAGTCGTGGTCACAGGGGGACTGACTTCAAATAAGTTTAACTATTATATCGCGTTTTAAACTGTTAAAGTGTTTTATTTAAATGTGTACTGTTTGCGAAAACTTTAGACAGTTCAAGATACCAAAAATCTATGTATGTAGATAACAACAACTTTATAAATAAAAACACATAAGTAAATGTCTAGTTAGTCAAGAAAATCTTTTTATTTTCATCTCAATACCATTGTTTCAACAAAAACGTAAATATATATTTTTTTGTAATAATTTAACACAATTTGCATTTTAACCGCTTCAAAAGTGTTAACCACAGATAAAACTTGAATAATCACATGATAATGATGTAGGGAACAGATAAATAAACACCCCTTCCTAATAAAAATGTCGTTGGTATAAAATACTGAGAGTAGTCGTTTATTTGGTAAATTTGACTGGGCACAAGAGGTAAATTATGATATCTTCGGTACAAAGACGCGCCGTGGCCTCTCATGCTGGGATCCCGTTGGGCACTTATTCCCCTACTCGAAAACCAAATTTAGGATTTGGAATGTTCTCCATATTTATCTGTAAGCTTACGTTTTTAATATAGTTTATGTTAATTACAGTTAACAATATACAAAGCCAAAATAGATCGTCAGCGCATCTTTTGAGATGTTATACGTCTGGGATATTTCACCTACCATCAAATGATTTCCAAGGTTGTCTGTCCTCCTCCATCATAAAAAATAAATTAAAACGATATAGTGAAAACAATAATGTTATATATATATAATAAACAAATATTTATGAAGCATATTCAAATTTGAGTAAACAAGTAAAAGTGAGTTGATATTAAAGCGAGTAGTAAACATTAAAAAAAACAGTTTAACGGTTTAAAACGCGTTTTATTACTTAAACTTATTTGAAGACTGACTGGTCTCCCCGTGAACGCGGCTGCTGCAAAGCATCCGAAACGTCAGGCCGAGGTTAAAATTCATTTTCAAATAAGTTTTAAACTGTTAAAGTGTTTTATTTAAATGAGTTGATATTATTTAATAAATTAAAAATTTACCTAATAAATTAACGTTAGTAAAAGACATCAGTTTAGTAAAATACTTTTAATGCTTTATAGTCGAATCGAGTTTAATTCGATTCGAGAGTCCGTAGTAGCAATGTGAATTGACCATAGCCGTGTGGAAGGCTCTCCCGCGGTGGGCATAGATCCTTTTATCGATCTAGCGGCGTATCATTAGATATCATTGTGATCTATGATCAATGATGCGCCCGCGTACCACGGTTGACCAAATGATAGAGTGTTATCTTTGATTGTGGCTATTACGTAGTGGTTTCTGTAATTGTCGAAATTCTGTCTTATTTTCTTAATATATCATTAGTTTCGTTCGCGCACAGTTAATTGAGTAACTGTGCGTTTTTTGTTCTATTTTTAAAATAATATAATTCTTTAAAAATCAACAGGTAAAAACTATTATTATTTTTTACTTTAATTCATTAACGTAATCTCTAAACGGTATAACACCCAAAAAGTACAATTTATTGATCTTAACTATAAAGAAACGTGTCGCATATAATTCATGTTCTTTTCCAGAAAACATTGCGGTTTTATTATGGTGTATGTATTATTGTGTACTGAGAACTAATTACTTGATTTTATTAAACATTTAATAGAACCAGCATTAGCATAGCATTGTGTTAGGACTAATGCGCACGACAGAAGAACTTGCATAATATAAATTATCCTACGGCCTATTCCCAACGCTGAAAATGCAACACTGCTCGATTAAAAAGCGTCGCGTTGTTAAAGCGCCGACGTAACACATACTTGGGTATGAAGATGTTCTATTTGAACACTTTTTTAACGGACGTTAAAAAAGCTCTCGTGTGAATTAGGCCTTGAGCGCGATCTTAGGTTCGAATCCTAGGAAACAATAGAATGACTCGCTTGAGCAAGGTCTGACTAAATTCTTTCTCTGAATAAAAGCGATAAGTGAAACGGACACAAATATGTGTTCACCCCTTACCCCACGGGTAGAGACGTGATTGTTTTATTATAAAACCTTCCATTAATTATAGGTACTGGTTGGTGTGTTATAGAAAAATCTGAAACCTCACTGATAACGATGTTTTATTGAGCTGATAAAGGACCGCTGAAATCCAACTAAAATGTTTTGATACCACATCTTATCTTTATAGCCTGTACCAACTTTGATAGAGAAATAATTAAGATGAAGGCAGTAAAGGATTAGACTAGGATAAAACCTTATCAAGGAAATTTCGGTATAATGACTGGAGTTCCGTATATATACTACAAGCTGTGCCCGCGACGTTCGCGTGGAATAGTGACTTGGGGTAGAATTTTTAATTTTTTACGCTGTTTATAATTTTATGTAAGGGCGCATTTAAGGCAGCCAATCTATGGTCTCTCACCTCACATCACTCCTATTCTAACTCCCACTTTCATTCCTCTCACTCTCACTCTCACTCCCACTCCCACGCCTTCTCCCGATCCCAACTCTTATTCCAAAAAAGCCAAAGAAGAAAGTTTCATTGTTCTACCTTCAAAAACCACGAATTTCCATACAACTAAAAAAGATGTGCTGTCTAAAACACGATTAAACTTGACGGCCTTTTTAACTGTGGCCGGTGGTTCGTTGCCCGGACGGAAGTGCGTTATTCCTACCACCCATTTAATACCCAGCTTTCCAGAAACGTTTTATTTATTTATTTAAATAAAATACTTTAACGGTTTAAAACCCGATATACTAGTTAAACTTATTTGAAAATGATTGTTCTTTAAATTATGTAAAAATATGACCGCAACACTAATGTCTATGTTTAAAAATTAACTTGCAATAACGACGGGGCCCGAACGAATGGACCCGAACGCAGGAACCCGAAGGCCGGGACCCGAACGAACCGTCGCTTAAAATTATAAAGATGAAGTTTGCGAAAACATATTTGGATGCCCAAAGTAACTATTCTAAGCGACGGTCGCTGTCACAGCTAGTTTTTTTATAAAAGTATACAGGTGCCATCAGACATTTTACATAATTTGGGTACCCAGCCTGTTTGCAAAATTTCACTACAATCGGTCGAGTAGATAATAAAGACGCAGACACTATAATCAATCACTCTTGCATTTTTATTCTGTAATCTCAAAGCAGGTGTCTCAATTGGCATACCTACTTTGAGGTAACCTTAGAAAAAAAAATAGTATTAATTAATTGGTATATATACCTGGTGGGATCCCGCGGTAGGCACTGCCGCTCCTGCACCGCGACACCGCCTCCGCAGGTCTTGGAACAACTACTCCAGGTGCCCCAAGAACTCCAAGCGTACACACTTGTTATATTCGTCTGCGAAGGCTCACTGGGTTGCTGAAATTAATTTAATTTATTTAAGAATACAGGAAACAAACAGAAATACCTATCATAGTAATATAAGTAAAGTAAAAAATGGAGTACAGATATACCCTTAAACAGTTTCACAGATCAGACAGAGCAACAGCACGGAACGCTGATGACGATGCCGGTTCAAGCCCTGCCCGAGTCGAAAATTTTTTCAATTTATTTTCGATTTTTAAATTAAATACTTTCAAAGATATTTTAATTCATGTTTTTTTTTCATAGGAATGTATTGTTGTCAATTAATGTATCTTGGATGATCCAGAATAAAAACAAAAAAATAGTTTTCTAATTTTATTTATAATAGAGACCTATAGGTCCCCATTTGTTTTTCTCTGGTGGGGTATACCCCAGCTATACCATAACGCTTAAACAAGATTCGAAATTTCGACCTTTTTTTGGCCTTCAATATTATAAAATAAAATATACTTTTTTCCCTTTAAAATTTTTAAAATAATTTAGATTCGTCATTTTTTTTTGTTTGTCCGTCTGATCGTCACGATTCTACAGAGTGTTCAAAAGAGCAACATAACTGAGAAGAACACCCAAGAAACTCAGTTCGGCTTTTTTAACATGTCTTTCAAACTAATACATTGTGAATTTATTAACCTAAGGAGCAATTCATATTACGGACAGGCGATCTTGGCATTAAAGAAATCGTTCAGACAATAATACGCCTTTCGAGACAATCTAAATTGTATAACTTTCTTAAATTTATTTATCGATATGTTTGAAATTTCGACTGGCAATGTAATATACAAATACTGTCTATAGTTTACGCGAGTAGTACCTACACATTTAAATAAATCACATTAACGGTTTAAAACGCGATATATTAGTTAAACTTATTTGAAAATGACGTGGTCACGGGGAGACTTCTCCCCGTGACCACGGCTGCTGCAAAGCATCCGAAACGTCGGGCCGAAGTTAAAAATCATTTTCAAATGAGTTTAACTAATATATCGCGTTTTAAACCGTTAAAGTGATTTATTTAAAAATGTATTATACATACAAATACATTTCCCCACATTATTATATTCGGAAATCCACAGACTGAAATGGAAACACGATTAAACTTGACCGCTTTTTCATCGGTATATACGATGGCGCAATCGTTTTTGACTATTCCTCCCACTCATTTAATACCACGGGTTCCAGACGCAGTCGGACATGTTTCAGAAATATTATAAAATGATTAGAAAGATGTTGGAATATTTTTTTGTGAGTTTCATTTGTTTCCGTTCAAATTAAGATAACATTTCTCGAATTTCTGGTCATAAATAAAAGAAGATATTCTAAAAGCCGTTATTGTGGACGGACACATCCTTAGTCTTTTCTCGTTGCATAAAGAAAAAAGGAAAATTCAAGCCCACAATAGGTCCATCTTGTTGCACATCTTGTTTAGATGTTACATGGCTGGTATTTCAGCTTCCATCAAGTGAAGTGAATATCTGTACTCCTCTGTCTCAAAAGCAATAAAATTTGTACTAGTACATCCTACGAATTGGAACATCCGAAAAATGGTCAATTTATAAAGAACGTTAACTGTCTATCGATTGAATATGTCTAGATACAAATTTATTTTAATAAATTATCAAACAGTGTCTGTTGGTCATTCTATTTGCATTGATTGGGCATAATGATAGGTCATTGACGTAAGCGGCGTATTCTGTTTACAGAACGAAACATGTGACATTGAGCGTTTGTTGGTGCCGCTACTGGTAAATTGTTGTTCTGTGGTAATTATTGAAATCAATATTGCATTTTTAGGTGTGTTTATTAAGAAATCTGATTGGACTTGAACAGTTTTTTAGGACGTTTATTTACACTAGTAAATAGAAATATTCGTACTTAACGCGAGTAGTGCACAAATAGAACACTTCTAACGGTTTAAAACGCGAAGTATTTAGTAAAATCATTTTTAATTTATTAACTACGGCCCGACGTTTCAGATTTTTATTTAGATTTTCCTACTAAAGTACAGTTTGGGATTTAATCGACCGAAGATATTACAGATTGGTTATTTAGTTAACGAGAGTATTAAAGACAGACACACGTATTTAAATGATTCCTAAACATACATTTATAGTCGAACACTACATCTATGCAAATGGAATGATTTTTATTGTGAAGGCGAGAATCGATTTTGCGCGTTCCCTATACCACAAAAGCAACGCGGATCTTAGTGCTAAGTCGCTTCAAAAATAAAGATTTAATCAATTTCCATTGAAGTATATCTAATAGAGTTTGACAGCTGTCATGTTATTTGCCTCCTTGTGCACAAGTAGGAATTATTGAGTCAGTACGGCTACCTGCTATCACATTACAAACAAGTCATTAGTAACATGTTTACTTACTTTAGCGTGGCCCTAATTTTGTTGTTTTTAGGTCCGTTATCTATGATTATGTAAAATTTGAAACATGCTCAAGTCTTAAGTCCTTTTTAAATTTAAATAAATAACTTTAACTTATTAAAAATGATTTTTAACTTCGGCCCGACGTTTCGGCTGCTTCAAAACTAAACTTAAACAAAATTCAAGTAAACAGTAGTAACCAACCAACAAGTAAACTATAGACAGTATCCTTTTTAATTCTTTAAATTAGCCATCAGTAAATACTCCCTGTGGTTTACGCGAGAAGTACGTAATTAAATAAAACTCTTTAACGGTTTAAAACGCGACATATATTAGTTAAACTTATTTATAACTTCGGCCAGACGTTTCGGATGCTTCGCAGCAGCCTTCTTTAGTATCACTAAACTGATACTAAAGATGGAGGATGTCTCTGACGATAGATAGAAGAGAGATAGAAGATATTACGATGCACAATTTCTGCTCCGAGGGTTTAGGGGAACTCAGTGATCCAGTTATCCTACTCCGAGATCGCTCAGACGATGGCTATTTTTCTAGCTAATTACTTACCGGTATTCCAGCTTCCGTACTTGTTATCTGTGCATTGCTCTTAGCTGCACTGATGATTAACCTGGAACAACAACACACTGTCAGTTGGCTAATGGATATCCTTTGAACAAACACACGTTACCAATATGTCATAGCGTCAGATTTGTTTGTTCAGCTCGAGTTCAATTTGAATGGCGATCGGAATGCTGAGATTTTTAATTTATTGATTAGTTCCTGATATTTCAATCTTTTTTGTCTTTATAATGTCCCACTGGTGACAAAACTCTTTTCTCATAGTAGTAGTAGGAACAGTTTAGTTTAGATCCACCATGCAGATCTTGATTCGAGAATAATAAATATTGCAAAATTGTATTGTTTTTCTTTGCATACGCGGTTGACATGCATTAAATACCCGAAGTTACCGCCTTATGTTTTGTCGTAGTTGGTATTTGGAGGTTTGGTTTGCGTAACATATTTGTTTCTGACATTATACCCTTCATCTTTCTCATTCGAAATATAGGGTCGTAATCGTAAACCTAATATTTCCCGTTTTAAACTGTTAAAAGTGTTTTAAAATACAATTTAATCATTCTTAAAAAAATACGGAATTATGGTTTAAAGATTAAAGCGGAAGTAATGGTTTACTTAATATTTAGGTATATGAATGATTAAATATTTTGTAAGCGTCAATAATCTATAAATACATAAGATCAGAAGTGCTCGAGTGTTTCCTGGTTCACGAGCGCCTAATTAGATCCTGGCTGAATAGCAGGATTTGATTATGACAAGGATATGAGATATCCCGTACGTCTCGGCCCATGTGGCTGAACCAAGCCAGACCTAATTCCTTACTTCCGAGATTCTAAAGATAACATGTCCAGTTATTTTTACCTCGTGATTTAATTTATTGCTAAGGCTTATAATGTGTGGCTAAGTTTTTTCTGACACCGCTAAATCATATCTTATTATAAATACGAACAATTATTAATATACATGTAACAAACAAAAATGTAAACTAAGTTTACACGAGATTACAATTAAGTTTATTGTTTGTACGAATAGTGCACATTAGTTTAACGGTTTGAAACTTGAAACATATCACTTCACTTTTTGTCAACTACGACCCGATATTTCAGATGCGTTGCCGCAGCCGTCCACATGCCATTAAAATATTTGGCGTTTGAAACCGTTCAGCGGTATATTTCAAAGGTAAAGAAGAAATCATGTAATGAGAGTTAATATGAAAATTATTGATTTATATTAGAACGGTAGCATTTAAAGATGGACATAAAACATACGTTGGCTGAATATACCACGGGACCAGCACTCAGCAATATAAAACGACGGAACGGACCATATTTCCAACGGATCGTGGCTTCCTTATCCACCTGGACCAACATGCCTCTAATCAGTTCCTAAAATCTCCTACCTACATTTGACCCTGTGTGGAGAACCTGGATTAGGTCGTCCACCTCGGAACCTACCTACCATCGCAAATCTAAAGTCTGGTCCGGGTCAGAAACCACCTTGCACAGATGGTATATCTGCGTATCAGTCAAAATTCATTTTATTCGATGTTTGAAGCCTGAAGTATTCCTTCTATCAAGAGCCCCATTTACTTGTCTTTCCTATTGTCATAAGCTGACTTATTTTGCCAAGTATTTTGATAAAATTTAATTGTCATAAAAAACGGTTCTTGTGAGTTAATCTGTCAATTTTTTAGATCATTTAAAGAGGAATATTTATATCGTACATATTTTTTGGTTTCTTGAACTGTTTTCGCAGAGCACGCAACGAAGACTCTCAAAGATGAATTAATCTCATCGTTTTTCCTACGTGTTTCACTGATTCTTCGTTCCTATTGATCGTTATGTTATATAGCTTAAATTCTTTCTCGATAAATGCAACACCAAAAACAAATTTTCAATTTGAACCACGTGTTTAACACAAACAACTCTTCAGCTTTATAATATTAGTATGGATGCATGAAATACATAGTATAAAATCTAAACGGTACCTTTTCGAATCAGATTAGCACAAATGCAGACCCACCTGTTTGGTGAATCGCTAACAATAGGAAGCTAGGTATGATATATGAAGGCAGTGGTCACGATTTATTCCTTATCTCGAATTCGTAGTCATAACTATTGCGCCAGAGTGGATGCCTAGCACGTTTTGTAGTCAAATAAGTAGATCATAGACTGTGATAGATTTTAACAAGAATCTGCAAATTTATCATAAGGGAAACCTCTAACTGTACATACTGTTTTGAAGAAGAACGCTCGTCAAAGGCTCGTTATGCTAAATAGGTTGAATAAAAACATATCTTAGATAAAGTATAGTTAGTTTTTAATTTTTTTAAGATCTGCCAAATTGTGTCATGTTTTAGACTATGTACTTTTAACGACATGGCTTCCTTCAATCGACTTTCATAAGTATTTTTATTATTTATGTAAGGTCCACTTTTAACGACTAGGTCAATAACGACCACAAGAGGAACGGTATAGTACATGACTAATGAATAATGTTAAAAATAACAAAAAAAAGATATTAGTATAGGCTGGATCCACCTTAGCCTAAACCAGACTAAACCTTAAAATTGTTAATATCTATGGGACATATTAACTATTTTAAGAATTTTAATGATCTGAAAATACTCTTTTACCAAAACAATCCATTACATTGTTTGGCAAATCACACAATTGTATTATCCATTCCAAAGGTACAAAGAAGGGCAATGTGTATTTCTCAAGTTGTTCGTCACGACGTAAACAACTTGAATTTGCTTGTTAGTGTTGTAAATACTAGCAAATAGAAGTCACACGGTATTAACAATAGTAATTAGTAAATCAGCTACTTAACGACACGAATCATTACAGTACATCAATTTGTAAATAACTAATAGTGTAATTAATTTAATATCAATATACTAATTAGCTTCATATAAATTCACTTTCCGTAGAATTTCTTCATCAGTTCAAACCGTTGTCTTGAGGTAATCACATCTATAATTTATCATAAAATGGATCTAAGTCTATCTAACATTTGCGAGCTTCTTGGTGATCGAATTGAGAAGTACCAGTCGGTACCAAAGAAACGTAAGCTGTTAAGGAGACGACTTGTTACATCTACACCAATACAGGATTACGTCAAAATATTTTCACCCAAACTGGAGCTGTCTCCTGAAAGGAAACCAACACCAACAGTTACCTGTGAACCAGTAAAAACAACTCCGAGGAAGCGGGCTGTAAGACGACGTGTAGGTCTTCAAGGCAGAAAGCTAGTCTTTGAAGAGGAAGAGGATAGTCCAGCTTTGAACTGAATACGAGATGTGATTTGAAATATTTAACCAAGCATTTAGTCCTAGCCTACATGACTAACGACCAAGAAACAAGGAATTCCATCCCTGATAATGATAAGTCAAATGATAATAATTTATTAAGATATAGATAATATTTCGTTATGTATATAACTGAAAGAGTTTATGTAGAGTTTTATATAATGTTTAAGTTTAACTATTTATTGGAGAAATGTGTATTAAATAATTTATTATATTGATATTCTACTTTTTTACTAATTCCAAGGAAAGTAAATTGCTATATTTAAATGTGTACTACTCGCGTAAACTATAGACAGTATTTAAATTGTCATAGACAATAGCAATTCTCCCATGTCAAGTTCGTCTTTTGTTTGGATAACTGTCAAATATTTGAATTCGTCATTAGGTACCTATTCATCTTTGTTTACACTTGCCAATTATCATTTCCGTCACAACTGTTCGTGTGCTTTATATCGCCGATAGACGGTAGTTTGAATACGAAACGCACGATGTAATCGGAAAGGGCCGACTACACATGAATTATTAAGTGCCCTCCTACTGCTAACGCCATGAATTATAATAGTAATTTATCATTTAACACCTAATACGCACTTTAGATCATCGTTGATAGCTATAAAATCGCCCTGATAGTGATGTTTTGTAAAACAAACAGGTATACACGTCTAATAAAAAATAACGCCACTAAACTTTACTTCTTCGAATACTTTACAATCTTTGATAGATCTAGGTGTGGCGTTATAAATGTACATACATTTCAGTATACGTAAAAAGCATTATAAATATAAAAAAAACACATTTAACGGTTTGAACTGCGAAATGGATTAGTGAACTTCTTTAAAAATTGTTTTACTCCTTCCCAAAGACTTGTTCACACTTTAGTAGGGGTGTTTGGTTTAATGGTAGCCATGTTAGGCTAATGGTTCCCCAACGATTTTTTTAATTGAATGAAAGATTTTTCTAATACATTAATAATTTTTCTGAAACATGTTCGAGTTCGTTTGGAAATCTGTATATTAAATGTAGATATACCGAAATTCCGTCTGGCTCTAGCAGTAGGTATCGTACGGCCTATGAAAACTTTTAATCTCGTTTCAGTTTCAGTGTATTTCTGAATATTCAAAGCCAAAATATGTTAACAGCGTGTTTAGATGTTATATATAACATAGGTGGGTATTTTACCTACCATCAAGTGAATTCTGTTACATGTTTCAAATTTGGCGCCTTTAATGTGTTCCACAGATTGACGTTTGATTACCTGTCGTTACGGTGACATATATGTCATCTGTTGATTCCTTCTTAAGAGTGTGCAATACGTGTCAATACTAATTATTATTGTAAATCCTCAAGTTATATTAAATCTCAAATATCTATCTCAATCCTTGTTTAATTTATCAAATTCATTCTTAAAAAAGCTTTTATACAGTCACGACCCTTTAATCTGAATTATAAGTACTTTCTTAACCAAAACTGTTATTATCGAAGCATTTTAGTTTTATCGTGTAATATTAGCAACACAGTACCAATCCTAAAAAGAACTATAAACCACGTATAATGGCGGTCCAACCGGCGCTTGCGCATCGCCATACACTGATGACATTTGAATGATTACGACATCATTTTTCAGTATTGACATGTGTAAAAATAGGGCACGTTAGGTACAGTGGCGAGGAGTGGAGCAGTCACGGATTAGTGGTCGCTTGCGTCACTTGATCTGACGATAAATGGGCTTCAGCGAAATGAGA